GGGGGGGGAGAGGAGGAGAAGAATGTTTCAAAGGTGTAAAATAGACAGACACAAAGGCAGAGAAAAGGTGAGGTGAGTACTATGGAAGTGGTAGAAAGTGACACAATGGGGGGTTGGTAGTTAGAAGTGAGAAGTCAACTGCCAGTTAATAGACTTTTTTGCCGTATGAGCATACGTTGCCCAGGGTGCACCACGTGGAGGTAAGTCTATCGCGCACCCCCCGATGAAATATAATGTATGGTGCTTAATACCCACCCACTAGTTAATCCAACTTCTAGAATTTTTTCATATAGTTTAAGCTTAAATCGTGGGGATTAGGAGGAAAATTAGCAAGATAACGTTTTCCTGGTAAGTGCTTATTTTCGTAAACACTTCAACTTCGAACGACCTACTTCAACTTTTTGGAGTCTGATTCTTGGACTCGTTTCCATCTTACTATTTAACCGAATAGCATTATTATTATACCCAAATTAGCCTCTACAACATCCACAAATCCCAGAACTATAAATGAGAATGCGCGTAAAAGCCTTACTTACGGGTAGGCATTACTCCAAAAATATACAGTGTAATAACCATGCGATTTACCAACTGTTAAGAAATAATTACCAATCATTCGGTAAATTTAATATTCATGGATTAAGTAATCTTTTTACGGAGAAGTATCTTTCTGTTCGTTAGTTAATGACTGCCATATTTATTCAGAATAGTGATTGGTCTCCTTGTTGCTGGCGAAACATGTTCTCTTGCATAAACCTCCTGCGAATCTTGAACATGCTGACAAAATGGAAGCATTCGCGAACTCTCGTGAGCCATTTGAAATTGGATTTATCGTAGACAATGTTAGACAAATTTATCCCTCTACGTACTCCATTTACTAGATGCTGGTGGTATTCAAATCTTCACCAATTCTTAAGCGAGCACTTAGAGTTCGTTTGGCCATGCTCCAGCTCTACGTGCTAAAACTCCTGAAGCTTCAAAGTCGTTACTTTGGACGTCAGTGGCGCAAAAACAACATGTCTGTCATGTCGGCAATTTATCAGAAAGTTCGGCATCGCCTTACTGATGATTGGGCCTACGGAAATGGTAAGGTTTTCTTTATATGTGATTTCCCTCCAATCAAAAGGTGAACAGCAGGGCAATGAATTTCACCATTCATTATTTGTTGAACTTTTGTCTTTTCTATGAAAATAGGTTAAGTTAGAAAGTAAATTGAGTGAAGGACATGGTGTATATATATTTCAAATGGTAGACCTCATGATAGTTATCGTTAGCTCTTTAGTTGACTTCGGGTTTCACAGAGGAGAAACGTCAAAGTCACAAAAAGTCGAGAGGGGAATAGAAGAGTGATTCACAGGTGTAAAAGGCAGACACAAAGGCAGAGAAAAAGGTAACGTGAGGTGAGTACTGCGGAAGTGTTCGAATATGACATACGGTCTGGTCATGGTAGTTTGAAGTCACAAGTCAATTGCCGGTTTATAGACCTTTTGCCGTATGAATATACGTTACCCAGGGTGCACCACTTGGAAGTTTGTCTATCGCGTACCTCACAATATAAGCGTAAAATTGAGAATATTTTCTTAGGAAGGGGTTTGGCATATTTGTTCATGTAAGAATATGTGTGAATAAAGTCAAAAGCATCAAAAGCCCGAAAATGGTAAATGATATCTCGAGCTCATTAAAGTCCTTTTAGTAATCGTACTATAAGCACCAATGCATAGCATTTTTGACCATTGTATATTCTGTAAAATCTCTCAGTTAAATAGACCAGTGGTATGACTTTCTGTTTAAAACAGAAGTGCCGTATTATGGAAAGTAGTCAACTCAATCTAAACCAGAATACGAATTGGATGTGAAGAATTTAGCCTTTCATGCTTCCTAAGGGAGCATGGGGTGTTTGAGGGTTATCACGGTTTCCTCGTAAAATAATGCTTCTTTTCCTCTTTAATCTACTCTGTATCTGAAATTATTAAGTCTTTTTCTGTTATACCTTAGTTTGGGAACCTTTATTAGGCTGCGATGTTTAAGATGCACATTTACTCACCATGGAAATACCTTATTCATTTTATTTAACAAATTTTGTTCAGTCTTGAAAAACCTAATACTTGAACTGTGCCTATCTTCGAATCATTGCTCATTTCTAACCCAGTTGTTTCAGAATTTTCTCATTGGTATATTAGTGTTCATTTATACCCGTTTCTGAGTAATTTACTGAGAGGTTTTCTTCTTGTAGTTTTATCTGTTTTTAAATGGTTTGTCACTGCTTTTCTCGTGGTATGTTAGAGATTGACACTCGCCCTTGGGAATCCCAAGTTGAAGAATCCACCCTTCGTTCTTGCATCGATCAATTCCATCAGCGTCGCTACTACGGCGACTGCCTGGAGGCAGATTTTCAACCTGTGGATAATCATCTTTCCTCCGTATTGAATAAACCAATGGAGCTACCAGAGGGGTTCAAGAGGAACTATGAGAGGTGGCTGGAGGAGGAGGTCTTTTCCATACCTATTAATTGGGATCGCGTCATTCTCAATGACCCGATAACAAACCCAGTGTGACTATGAAAGCTCCTTTCTTCATTTGACTTTGTTTTAGCCTGACCCATTCTACTGATTGTTTGATCTCTCACTCCCAGTTTTTTTGAATTATAAATGTATAAGCACGTTTTGCTTTGTAGAAACTTTATTTTTGTTATTATCATGGATTCAGTGTAGAAGGCTGCCAACATTTCGGTTATGGTCCATTAAATGTAAGTGTTTAAGATCCATATCGACTGATAGTTGTAAATCATTTTACCAACCAGCAGAGTTCTATTGGTTAGCTACAACGCAAAATTCCGTCGATAGAGACTTGAGTACATACACGCTCAGGCCACCTTTTTACAGTTTTGTAGGGGGGAGGGGGCGCTCTCGTCGACTAAACAGCATAGATGCACTTATTTTGTATGTGAGCTGAATAACCTGTTATGTGACATAATTAGTGCTCGTTATAAACTGGAGGGCTGGTCAGGAAGTCACTAGGTAAGCTGAATGCTATATTAAATTGACGCATGCACATAGTGTGCTTAAAATTTTCTAGCACTAACTCCCCATCTGGCAAAACTAGATAATTCGTAGATCCGGTGGGTTCACCTCTTTATATATTTATTTATATCAAATGGCAGGCATTTTGACAGTTACAATTAGCTCTGGAGCTGACTTCAGGCTTCACAGAGGGGAAGGAACATCAAAGCGAAAAAATCGAGAGGGGGTGGGAACAGAAAAGTGTTTCAAAGATGTGAGACACACATAAAGGTAGAAAAAAAGGTGAGATGAGTACTGTGAAAGTAGTCGAATATGACATACGGTGGGGTGATGGTATTTTGAAGTCAGTTGTCGGT